ACCAAAAACCACTGCAGGCTGCTGGCTTCCTGGCACACCCACTAGACCCTGCAGGTTTACACTGAAAGCAAACTAACAGGGGCTGGAGGCGGTGGGTGGTGGTGGTGGTAATAAGATGGGCAAAAATAAAAGCAGAGGCTAAAGTCTGAATGACATTGAGCCAGTATGAAGGTCCTGTATGTGGGGAAGAGGACAACGTTCCCAAAGAAGAGAGAACTTAAACATCAAACACAATGGCTAGTAAGAAACATCTGACGTTTGCAGACAACACATTTTTTTAAAAAGTAAATTGTGTATCTTCTTTATATTCTTAGCTGTAGGGATACTATAGGTATCTTTAGGGAAAGTACTATATAGTTTAAGCCATTTTACCCAGTGTGCTATCACAAATACCTTGTAACCAGAACCGTGTAACAGTACCATTGGTGTATAATAATAATCACTTTCAAGCACTACAGAATCCTGAACAAAGATCCTTATGATCTATTAACCAAATGCTGAAATAGTGTTTGTGTAGTAATGAGTGGACCTTTTTAAAAAATAGCTTTTTAAATGTCTTTGAAAGTTAAAATTATGTCATATATGATAACTCTTAGTCAAAGTACAAGTTTATTCCCGAATATGCTATTCTTTCTTTGGCCATAGCGTGTAACAGAATATATTTCTGTTTAGCAGATCAAGAGGTGGCAATATTGGCAGTATAAATGATTCATCCAAGGACAACCAATGTGTCATTGTAGAGATAAAACAGAACTAGGCTGCATTCTACCAGCTCCTGACCTATGTAACATTTTTGAGAACTTTCCAATCATTTTAGGAAAACAAAGTACTTAGAAAATACAAAGAGGTTTTTTTAATAAAAGAAAATCACTTATTTTGGAAATTGCTAAATTAATCATTCTGTTGTATTTAAGAAGCTCTTTGATGTGTTCTGGTAATTAGTATTTACTGCCAGATGAATGTCTCCTGGGCATTTTAATTAACGGGTGGCTTGGCCAAAGGAGCTTCTGAGGGTAAACCTTCATAAGGGTTTATTTTTGTATTTCTCAAGAATAGCTGTCTCTTCAAAGCTCTTTAATTAGACGAGGTTTAGCAGCTAAAGCACATTATTAGAATAATTAGGCCTTGGGTGAAGAGAAATAGTGGGTCAAAGGAGCAGGTACCGTTAGAGAGAATGGCCTCTTCAAGTGGAGCATGGTGTCCACATCTGATGGACGTCCAGTTCTTCAACAGCTTGTATTCACTCCCTGTCCCTAGTTGGGGACCTTGTGTTGTTTGAAATTCATTTGACAGATCTCACCAGAATCCTAAACATACCAGAGTGTGAGCTCACTTATCACCACCTCTGAACTCCTGTAGAAAGCTGTATCCTAGTCCTTTTAACATCTAAGCTAAAGACTTCTTGTTTTCTCTTTCTTTCTACCAAATTGGTGATCTTGGCCATAATAATGATTGTTTTTGAGGGAAATGCTTCAAAGATCTTATGTGTGGGTCATCAATAACTCTAACAATTATAACAACTCCTTTGAGGGGTCTTTCTTAATAATTTAAATAAACTACTTATAACATTGTTCTTAAAATTACTAATGTATTTGGTCTCCAAAGTTTAATGTCCGTTGTGGTCAGAATGTACTTTGAATTATTTGAAAATCTGATATGTGGATGGATTGTCATTTTGCCCTCTTCTTCAAACCACCCCCACTCCATTTCTTGTCCTAAGCTCTTAATCTTGTCAGTCATTACTGGTGCATATGTTTTATCTCAAAGTTCTTCTTTGTGATGAAGAAAAGATACACCTGACTGGTCCCATGGGGGATGGAGATGGTGCCAAAACAATTGGTTAGTATTACTGAAACTACTATTAAAAAACAAAAAATAATACAGTTATATTGTCTAATTTTCCACTTTCCCACTATCTCAGGATGCTTATGATGGCAAATGTGTCTTTTTTCCAGCTAGATCAGTTGATTTAAGGATAGTGCTGATGAGCTATTACAGATTTCAAACAGAGCAAACTGTGTCACTGACATTTCTAATGCCATCAGCTGTCGTGATCCGTATATGTTGTCAGATAAAGAACTGGGTTAAGAATATGTATGTCATTGGTTCAATATAAACCTACTTCCACTATTAGAAAAATGTTATAGAACTTATGACATTGATTATATGTCAATCAATTCCTTTTTAAATATAGAGAGGATAGCCTGATTTATAGAATTAAAAAGTTTATCACATGTAAATTCTTTTGTTATACCTTAGTGACATAGCCAATGAAATTATTTCATTTAAAGTGGTAGAAACTTCACATGGTTTCCTATTGATGTTATCTGTAAAAATTAATAACATAGTTTTAAAAATATTTGGTAAGCACAATAAATGCAAATGTAAAGACGCGGGCATATTACTGTGCATTCCAGAGAATAGTCACCAAATAAGTACATTTTTATGTCAAATTGTAAACCTTTGAGAAAGCAGAAGAGATATTAGCCTAAACAGAATCCTGTATAAAGCAGGTTTTCCCCTCTCAGCAATGACTAATTTCTGTCTATTCTTTCCTAAAGTAATTGATTATTGTGACTCTGCTTTTTGACTCACCCTTTAGCACAGGAAATATTGCTGATACTTATCTTCATGTGCATGTTTGCTGTGTATATGTAATCTTTTGCAACGGAGATATGCACAGGAAGGTGTTGAGCATTACGATCCTTGAAGAAAACCATTACGTGCATCCCTCACAGCTCTTCCTTCCTTATGGTAGGGCGAGTGTATTCTTATGCATATGTATGTGTAATGGGATTTATACTTAACGAAGTTTGGGTGCTCATTACTAATGAATTTTTATAGATACAAATCAGGACTGTAAATGTCTTGTTTTCCATTTGTTTGCTTTACTTCTTTGACTCATTCATTTGCTGGGCCTGCTTGTATCACTCCTTCTGTCTACCTTTTGAAATTATACCACTGTCCCAAAACAAGAACTGACAGTATTCCTCTTCACTGCAGACCACCTGGTGGCCCATGGCAGAATGGCAGAAAAGGAGGCCCGTCGGAAGTTCAAACAGATTGTCGCAGCTGTCTATTTTTGTCACTGTCGGAATATTGTTCATCGTGATCTAAAAGCTGAAAATTTGCTACTGGATGCCAATCTGAATATCAAAATAGCAGGTGAGAAGTATGCTGAGGATGTGAAATAGGAGTGAAGCAGCTTTTCCTTGAAGGTTCTTAAAGCAAGGGATTATCTGTTTTATCTATTCAGAAAGAAGTATTATAAAAAGGATTTTTGTGTGTGTGTGGCTTGAAAATTAATAAGCTTTCAAAGTACATTGATGCTATTTTTTATGTAGTTTGGGATGCAACTAGGTTGGGAAGAAAGAAGCAAAGTAATTTTTAAATAAGGAATAAAATATAGGATAAAGTAGTAAAAAAAAAACGGATAAAATTGTGTGCCTTCTCACCTTCACTTGAGAAGGTTGATTTGTGTCACTGCTGATATAGAGCATGCTTATTCTTAAGACTGTGGTTTTATGATCATTTAAGAAGAATAGATCTTACAGTGGTTTAAAGGCAGTCCATCTCTTTTTATCCTCAAATTTCATTCACCTGCTCATCTGACAGGTGCCTAAAAAAGCACTTTTCACTGCCTCACTCTGCTCATACTTCAAGTTTAGTAAACTGTCAGCATTTGCCTATAACCAATACAAGCTCACCACCTATTGATAGAAGAAAGTGACTGCAGTTTATATAGAAACTATAAATATGAAAATAAGCCATTTTGGTTTTTCTGACAGTTTTTGGTATTGCAATGTATGTCCCTTGTCTTCCAGATAAAAAAGGACTGGAATCTCATATAGAAAACAGAACTTTAGCTAGAATATAACTGTCTTGAAAAGCCTAGGCAAGAAGCAATTCTGAAGATTTCCCTCCTTAACTGGGTGGGAGCTGAGAGTTCAAATTTATATTATATTATAGGTCAAAGTACCTATGTGAACCCTTGTAGGTTGTTGATTCTTCTGACAGTTTCTCTTGTGTACATAACTCTGCTCACTTTCCAGGCTCTACTTTTACATCCTCGGAATGTCACCTAGCCTTTTGTTTATCTGAGTTGGGCTGATTATAACTTTTATAGTTGTAAGATCTTTGAGTTCTGTATTTGCTCAGTACACAGTAGACAGGAATTAGAAGCTTTCTTTATCTTACATGAAATCATGTTTTTCCTTTGCCCTGACGTCTGGTTTATATTCTCTAAAGCTCTCTAGATGCTGACAGTGCTCACAAGGGTGGGAAGGGTGGAAAGGCCTGACAATTGCAAACCCTCTTTTGTAACTATTCATTGTAGTTTCAATTAAATTAATGGTAATAACACCTACTAAGCTTCACAGTCCTTAAAAGTATAATAAAATGCGTTAATTATCTATTGTTGCTGTAACAAATTACCACACACTTAGTGGCTTGAAACAATACAAGCTTATCTTATAGTTCTGGAGGTCAGAAATCTGAAATGAATCCTGTGGGGCTGAAACCAAGGTATTGGTGGAACTGGTTCCATCTGGAGGCTTTGGAGGATTCATCTCCTTGCCTTTTTCGGCTCATGGAGGCCTCCTGCATTCCTTGGCTCCAGGCCTTACATCACACTTCCACCTCCTGCTTCTATTGTCACATCTCCCACTCCTAATCTGATCCTCTTACTTCCCTCTTGTAAGGACCCTTGTGATTACATTGGACCCTCCTGGATGAACCAGGATGGTCTCTCCAGCTCAAGATCCTTAACCTAACCACATCTGCAAAAGAAGATAACACATCTACAAGTTCCATGGATTAGGACAAGGATGTCTTTGAAGGGCTGTTATTCAGCCTGCCACAAATGTTACTGTAGGGTTCTTTGGATTTTTGATTACGGTAGTGAGTTAAAAGAAGGCCCTCAGGGCTTCCCTGGTGGCTTCCCCGGTGGCTGAGTCTGCCTGCCGATCCAGGGGACACGGGTTCCTGCCCCGGTCCGGGAAGATCCCACATGCCGCCGAGTGGCTGGACCCGTGAGCCATGGCCGCTGAGCCTGCGTGTCCGGAGCCTGTGCTCCGAAGCGGGAGAGGCCATAGCAGTGAGAGGCCCGCGTACCACAAAAAAAAAAAAAAAAGAAGGCCCTCTTTTTCTGCTACAGTCTTATTCTACCTTCACTGACCAAAGACTAAGAAAAAATTTTTATGCTTCCTTGGTTCTTGATTTTGAATTTAGAATCATTTTGATTTAGTTAAGGGAAATTTGTATGGCTTTTAGTTTTTGCATTGAGAAGCCAAGTTTAAAAAGCAGGGGGTGGTGATAATTGAATTTAGAAACTCTACTGACAAATATTTGGGTAAGGAGATTTTTAAATACTTTTCTTTGTTAATAGTTAAAAACAAACCCATGCAGTCACAATATGAGTCTCTACCTGTTGGTGTGTAATTACAGACTCCTCGGGGTCCTGACAGCCAGCCTTGGGCTCTCTGTGTATTAATACATATACTTTGTCAAGATTTTTATTTCATTAACCTAAAGTCTGCAGTTTTATTATTTGTTCTCAGAGCAAAGCAAAGAATAAATGAGCACCCCTAGTTTTGTGCTCTGCTACAGTATCTGACATTGTCTTTGTTTGCATTCTTTCCTACATGCTATCATTACTCAGTTTCTCAGTCATTGCCTGAACTTCCCTTCCTACACATAAATTGGATAGAATACCCGTTCTCATCAGCCAGGCCTTCTTTGAACTTAATGGACCAGTGGGAGGAACGCTTCTAGTTGAAGCTGACTACAGCATGACTAATTTTAGAGAGGTAGGTTGGATGGTTCTGATGGGATAAGTTCAGATAAGTAATGAAATCAACTTTTTATTCTGAAAGCTAAAAGTAACTTTCAGATCCCTGATCTTTTCAGTAGTCTTTTTGATGAATTATTATAAATCTCAGGAAGAAAAAACTACTGTTTATGAAAGAAACACATGAGAGAGAAATGAGAGGTTTTTTATTTTATTTAAAATATTGTTAGTCTTAAGCACCTCATTTTAAAAATCATCATATATGTTATAGTAGCAAATTAACTTGGAATTAATAAAAATTCAGATCAGGAAATTTAAGGAATTCATGTTTTCCTTATCCAATATTTACCTAGTGGTTTTGATGAAAAGATTATGCATCCTGTTCAAAAGTAGTTGAATAAGTTGTTCAGGGGATGTTTGTGTTTACAGGAATTTATGTTTACTTTTTGTATGAAGTAATGTGACAATTTACATGTAATACTTGGTACTACTATAAAAATCTAGCTATTATAAAAGCCCATGTTAGCCCTCTTCAAGTGAATATGTATTCCCAGGACACGAGAGTTAAATTTCAGTTACAGATATTAAAAGATTCAACATCATTCCATTGTTTAAGAGTTTTTGTGATTAAATTCTTACCTATGAATTTTTGTTCTAGTGCTAGTTCTAGAGAGAATGAAGCCCAGGTGAATACTTTGGGTTTTTTTTTTTTTCTGGTTTTAATGCTTTCTTCTTAATGCTGGTCACAAACCTGTCTTCTGTAGAATTATTTGAAAGATGTTTCTATCATTAGTAATCCAGCATAAGCATTGATTGTTTTCAGAATAAAGAATTTTATTTCTGAAAGGCACAGTTGCCAAGTCTGGAACGAAGAATTTGTAGTGGCTATCTATAATCTTCACTGTTCTTAACAAAGGCTTTTTGCTCCGGTATGATGGAACAGAAAAAAGAAGGCTAAGAACATGACTCCCACCCTCAAGAATTTACAGTCTATTTGGGCAGCAAATGCTTAGAACTTTGAAAAGTTAAATAACACCAAAATTATGCTTTACATATATAAAAAGTACTTTGCAAAGCATTTTCACGTATATCATTTAATTTCAACGTATTTGTCATGCAAATGTGTCTTGTTTCGAAAACACTGGAGTTTCCAAAACACCTTTAACTTGCTAAAAGTTTGAATTTCTTATAAAGAGCGCTCATGCAAATTGCTTTCATGTAGAGAGTTCAACGCTGGGAAAAGAATAGGATTCTTGGTCTCTAACCTTTCACTTTGTGCCTCAGATGTGTGAGCATCCACAAAGGAGCATGTTCGGGATGGAGGAGGCACAACATGGCTCTCTCAGCACATCGATTGTATCCCTGGGTGACAGCATGGCCAACAGCTACCAAATTGCAGTTTGATACAATAGGAGAGATGTTACAGAGCACATCATGATTCATTATCACGTTAATTGTATAGTCCAGTCACCACAGGAGTTCAGAGGATGGAGAAACCACTTTAGTTTGCAGAATTTCATTAGATTACAGATGCCACAGGGACTGTAAGCATATCCCATTTATTGTACCTGTTCTGTAGTAGGTGCTCAGTAACTTTGTTGATCTGAACTTTACACAGTGGTGATGAGGACAGAAACACCCTTTTGAGAATATAGCACTTGAGGTGAGTCTTAAAGGATGAATAGAATTCTTTAAGGATAGGTGTCAAGGAGAGAATCCCAGTAGGATTAGTCGGTAAGCAAATGTTAGTAAAGCACCTGCTGTGTGCAGACACTGGGAATACAGCAGCAGATAAAATAGTCCCTCGGAACTAACATTCTGATGGGGAAAGATAGACAGTAAACACATAAACAAGCTCTCATAAGGGCTGTGAAAATGGTAATATCGAGTAGTCTGATAGAACGACTTGTGAGAGGATAACCAGGATAGTCAGAGCCTTCCAAACAGAAAGAAGAGCAAGGCAAAGGCCTGCGAGAGATGAATTCAACATATTTAGGGGGTAAGAGAAAGTTTAGCATGGCTGAGGATACTAAATAAGGCCGGGAGTGGAAAGATGGGATGAGAGAGCTGGCAAGGGCCAGTTCGTGTGGGGCCCTGTGCACATGGTGAGGACTTGGGGCTTTATTTTGGTTACAGCAGGAAGCTGAGTTGGAGAAGCATGGGCAGCAGTAGAATGCACACAGCATATCTGCAGAAAAGCTTGGTGAGAGGGAAGGATCGAGGAGGGGAGTCATGCCTGAGAAGGCAGGAAGGGGAGGTATTTGTACTAAATTGTGAAATTGTTTGAATACCAGGCTTAATAAATCAGATTCAGGGTGGATAAGGAAAAAAGGGTGGGAGTAGGGAGAGGGGACAGGAAAGCAATAGGAAGATCAGT